GACTTATGATATATTACCTTTCGTCTTCATCGTGTGCTCTTTAACACAGTTTAGCAATGACACTCACAGGCTTACTGTGTAGGTAGAGTCTGAGTGAGAAGTATTTAAGTTCAAACTTGTGAAGAACAGTTTTTAAAGTATTGGAATGTGTCTTCGATGTTTATCTGTAACATTTTAATCACTGCTTGTGCAAAACTTGGGTCAGGATGATTTTATCAAGTAGGGCACATTTCTGGAACTTATTTGAACATTTATGGAGGACATTTTTAAATTTCTCTTTACAATGTTGAGTCTTGTTGATGCATAACTCACTTAAGGCTTAGTGTGGCCCCGATAATGTATATTTATGGTTTATTTAGTTCATTATTAGCTAAAATGTGGCTGTGTAGTGGCCTGCTTGTGGACCACTGCCAAAATGCCACCATTCCATGCAGCATGTGGGCCACATGAGGAATGTGGGGAAGACCAGGGTTAGAATAAAAATCAACTGTGGCCCACATTAGGGCCAGTTTTGGTTTATTTGGTTGGCTTACATGCAGCAATGCTAAGGCTTACTTGAGGCCCAGATCTGGCAAACAGAACTGGACTGCCCAAATGCCATTATTCCACGCAGTATGTGGGCCGGAGCAAGGTGTTGGATCTGGGCCAGAATTCAAATCAATGTGACCCAGATATGGGCCAGTTCTGCTTTATTTGGTTTATTCATGGCTGACATTGGGCCTTCTTTTGGCTTGCTCGTGGCCCAAATCTGGCAAACAGGAGCGGACCGCCCAAATGCCATCATTCTGCACAGTATATGTAGGCCAGAGTAAGGTATTGGATCTGGGCCGGATCTGGGCCAGAATTAAAATCAATGGGGCCCAGATTTGGGCCAGTTCTGCTTTATTTGGTTTAGTCATGCTGACATTGGGCCTTCTTTTGGCTTGCTTGTGGCCCAATCTGGCAAACAGGAGCGGAACGCCCAAATGCCATCATTCCACGCGGTATGTGGGCCAGATGAAAGTGTCAGGTGTGGGCCTGATCTGGGCCTCAGGAATTTTGCTATCTGGGACACACACACACAAAATGTCCTGCTCTCACTTGGCAGAGAATGACAGAGTTGGTGACTTTCACTTTTTTAAGCGGATGCAGAAGAACTGATGACGGCACGGCAGTGTTGCCAACTAATTTTCTGAGAAAGTTACTAAAGGATGGTCGATTTTTTGCTAAAAGTTGCTAAATGACGTTGTGATGTCATTGCGTAATCACGACGCAAAATTGTCACATCATCAAATCTCAGCAAAAAATATATTTTATATGTTCATTTAGATTTGTTTGTAAAATAATATGCATGACATAATATGAAAATATAAATAACTGTATTTTTAAATACATTGAATTATTGAAAACGTACACATTTTGTCACCGTGCGTGCGGGGAGATGAAGCGAGGACTCAATCGCTGGAGAAATGGTATTTTATTTTAGTAACAAATTAAACAAAAACAAACTCAAACCACCCCGAGGGGGAAAAACAGACAGGCAGAGCTAAAGCTGCACACATGCAGACACGAAACACACACAATGAGAAATGACGGATCAGCACAGGACGGCAGACACAAGGAGAATAAATAGGAACCAAACGAGGAGGCTAACGAGGGAGACACAGGTGGAGAAACTAAAACAATAACGAGGTAACAAGATGGGAGGGGCCAGACAATAGACAGGAGAGAGCACATGGCAACAGACAAACACAACACAAGCCATGTGCTCCCAGAACACAGTCATCTGGTGGCCCTCCTGGGCACACCGGCTGAAGACTGTGACACATTTTTGAATGATTTCAATTTAAGTTTTTTTAATAGCTAGTAAACTAGTAATTCTACACATTCTCAACTAATATGCTTTAAGCGGTGTATTAGTAGTTAGTTAGTATGCAACACTCTAAGAAAAGTCTGTAAAAATAAGGCACAATCTACTATGTTGATATGAAAGAATTTTCCGTAATGGTTTTTTACCTGCATTTTAAATTATGCATTGTGTTTTCGGGTTACAGGGTTACAATGGATGATGTATAATGGATAATGTCCTGAAAGATTTTCCATTTTTCTTACAGTATACTAACTGATCAACAATCGCAGGTACAAGCTACTAACAAAGTGTATCATAAATGAACAATTATTCAATTATCAAATTATTAAATTATTATTATTATTATTAAATTGAACAATTGCAAATAGCAGCTAACTCAATTCACATGATGTGTGTACTGCTAGGCATCAGTGGTTTCCTCTTTTTGTGTAATTTGGATGGAAAATGTGTGCCTTTTTATTGTCTGAGTCACTTATCAAAAGTTGCTAAAGGTTGCCAAATCAATTTTTTTAAATTGCTAAATTTGTTGCTAGGTGCTTTTGGAAGAAAAAGTTGCTAGGGTAGTCTGAAAAGTTGCTAAATTTAGCAACAAAATTGCTAAGTTGGCAACACTGCGGCACGGTTGAGCTGTTTTCTCATTTTTCTACTTTCAATATTAAATCAAAAAACGAGTGAACGAATGATACATGGATTAAAGTGCTCTAATTACCAAACCAAACCAAATGTGGGCTGTTCAAGAACAATAACTTAAGATAACTATAGTGTTCACACCAGCACATAATAACATTCTGTTTATTGTAAGTGCGCATTGCATTTCTTATTGTCTGCCACTTGAAATGATCTAACACTTTAAAGGTGACATATCATGAAAATCTGACTTTTCCAGGTTTTAAGTGCTATAATCAGGTCCCCAGTGCATCTACCAACCAAGGAAACGTGAAAAAGATTAACCCAGTGACTTTGTTTTGGTAAACCTTTTTCTGCAAGCCTCTGAAAAAACGAGCGTGTCTGATTTCGCTCCCCTAGTGACGTTGCAAAGGGATCTCATTATAATATTACCGCCCCTTAATCTGTAAGTTTCCACCCATGGCTCCATCATTTTGATTTTGCAATGCTAACTGTTTTGTCTTTGGGTGCACATATGCGCTCAGAAAACTGTATATTAGAGGTTTAAACTAATATGGTTAAAAAAACGCATGATTTCAGCACGATAAACATAATAATCAGAACCAAAACAGATATTTTTAGCAGGTCCGAGCTGTAATGGCACAGCTCTATTCTGGAAAAGGGGGCGGGGAGCAGCAGCTCATTTGCATTTAAAGAGACAGGCCCGAAAAACGGCGTGTTTCTGCTTCCACTCAAGATAGGCATTTTCAAAATGATATAATAAATTATCTGTGGGGTATTTTGAACTGAAACTTCACAGACACATTCTGGGGAAACCTGGAATTTATATTACATATTGCAAAAAGGGGCATAATATGTCTCCTTTAAAGCAGGACAGATTCTGATTGGCTGTCAATAAAAAAAATAATTCTTAAAGTGATTCCAATTATATTTCTCTGTGTCGTTATCGCTATAGTTGTGTTGTTGACTCTCCCAGAAAACACAGACCGTCCCCCTAAAGTTCTCATTTATTATCTGTTGGTTCTTTTTTTGTTTTGTTTTGTTTTGCTCTAGCTCTTTAAAGTAGGATGGATTCTGATTGACTGTCAATGAAAAACATGTTCCGAAAGTGATTTCATTAATATTGTACCTTTGAGCCTTTATCATTGTAGTTGTGGACTCTGCTATTCTTTTAAATTCAGAACTATATAAAAAAACTATATCTTTATCATTATAGTTATTGTCCTTGGTGTGAATACACCTTTTCACTCTGAGTGAACATTTTGGTTCTCCTCATCAGAGGCAGGTAAACAAAATCAGAATTCAACCTATGTATGGTTTAAAGTCATTATCAACATGGAGAGAGTATGAAAGATTGGTCAATTTCATGTCTCTTATATTAAAGATGGGGATGAATCCGAAGATGACAGGAAGCAGATAACACAATTAGCTGAGCTGCTAGGTGGGGAGAGAAAATTGCCTGTAGCCTTAACAACATAGACTATCATTAATTATACCTAAAAGGAATTTAACTACCAAATGCTTTTTAAAGACATTCTTATTGCTCCTACTAGCTAAATGCCCAGCAAAGTAGATGCTTTTTGGAGGGATAAGCATTTAGTCATGATAAATCAAACTGCGGGCTTCTTAGGGGTTTCAGCCCTTCAAAGAGGCAGAGAGCTTTACTGACACCAAGTGGCCTTCACACAGATGTCCCCTCGTAACCCTCAACCATCTCCTATAGTATGTCTCACCCTGTAACTGCTGAAGTAACTGTGGAGCTTTATCAAGAGAAATGCAGTACTTCATGGTTCACAAGAGTCTGGTGTAGCAATGCGGCACTCTATCTGTAAAAAGGTGCGGAATCTTGCAATAAAACTAATGTAGATTATGTAAAGTAATAAAACGTGTTTATTAACACAGCTGAGTTGCATTTTTTTTTTAATAGTGAACATTTCTATCTTCGAGAATCTTGCAGAAATGCTGTTGGGGGATTTTTGTGATGTGTTTTTTTACTTTAGTGTTTGGCGTCCCCTGCTGGATATTCACAAGATTTGTATAAAGAGATGATAATGATCTATGAAATAATGATGGTTAGATTAATACACATTCTGTGTCATTTAAATCCTCCTATTTAAATCCTCAGTAAACGGTTATGTTCCTATAAAAATATCATAAACACATTTAAGTTGGCTAGAATGCTAGGGTTATTCACATATGTTAGAGAGAAGACATAAAAGGGAAATTATCATCAAGATAGGCTGCATAAAAGTCAATGTAAGGCCTTTATACAAACAGTTTTGCTGTATTGTTTTAATCAACACATTGTGTACTATTTCAGCTGCCTGATTATAGGAAGATCAACTTGAAAAGTTCCACTGGAAATGACAATTACTGAGGAAGTCCTTCGTCAAATCGCCTGAGTAGAGCTGTCTAGATCAGCGCATGCGCAATTCATCCTCAGCCTGCCTCCGTAAGGGTGTCGATTCTCAAGCTGGAACATCGGAGGAAAAAAATATACTGTATTTTACCCACAAAACAGCCAAAAAAACAAACGGATGTGCATCAGAAAACGAAACGGCTACCGCCCTCCAGATCATTTTAATGCCAAGATTGTAAGTATTGTCATCCTTAGCGTTTCTGAACAGCATAAACGTTGAGTTTGCCAGTGGATGGTGGGTTCTTTCCCGTCCCCCCGAAGATGGGGTCGTCCTGCGTAAATCCCAGTCTTCTGTTTCTGCATGTGTCTTTTGTACAGTCTAATGGGCAGGAACTCACTTCTATGGCTTGGCGAGAACGAAGCTTTCCTAGAAACAGAGCTTGAATGTCTTCGAGATAGACTTCAGCGCTGATTCGCAGTCGAGGAGGGAATGCCGCTTACTTTGGCGTCTCTGTTACTGCTCGTTCCGCTTCATCAGGATGCAGGGACAGATATGTGTTTGGAAAGCTAGACTGAGTTGGCATCTGCTGTGAGATGTATGTTGTGAGCCTCGTGCAGCAGTCGTGCTCCGGGAGCGATGTGTTTTCAGTGGACAGTTATTACAGGAAGACCGAGTGTGTGTGTGTGTGTGTGTGTGTGTGTGTGTGTGTCACGGGCATTAGGGTTTCTTTTTCATCAAATAATAATAATATATATATTTTTTTATTATTTATTTATTTCATATGGCACAGTCTATTTCGGTTTTAAATCGCTATCCGTTAAGCAGTATGGGCTGTTTTTGATGATTTGGGGTATTTCGGTGCAACGGAGAGTGAACGCTGATGCACGGATTATAGCGTTGTCTGAGGGGGGTGTTTTCAAATCAAACATCTAGGAAGTGGGGGAGGATAAAGCTCTGGTTATCATCGGTCACTGCCTTTGACTTGTGCGTTTCTATTAAATAACCGCGTGTTTTAGGTAAGCAATTAGAATAAACTAATTGAACGCCTTATTTGTGTGTCGTTTTCGTTTCGACAGATGTGTTTTCCCCTTTAGCTGGCTGTGTAGTAAAGCGCGTTCGCGGTGCACGCGCGGGACCTTCGGGTGAATGAATTCTGTGTGCGCGTACTCGTCGCCGCGTTCGTTCGTTCGTGAGGGAGGGAGGGGGCGGGGATTCTGGCGTCGCGTGGCGGCGCAGAGCTGTGAACGCGTTCGCGCGCGCGTGTCGCTGCGGAAACGGAGGGGAGACAGCGCTGACGTCAGAGGGAGAGAGCATTCCCGCGCTTAAGAGATGTTTATGTCCAAGCAATGTGTACACGTGAACTTTTGGTTTCTCTGAGGAAGTCAAGCCTGGATTTTTGTTGTTGCTGACCGCATCCCAGGCATGTCTGATACTTGACGAAATCTTAGTGTGAGTATGTAGCCTTCTTCGTTTGTGGTGACAACAGTGAGGTCTGTGTTTAGCTGAAAGAATGGCATGTGTTTAAACACCAAGCAAGCTTCCACGTGGGCATGCCAGTCAAACTCCACTGCTTTGATATCTTCTTCAGCATCTCTGCTGCACCAGGAGTGAGATTCAGTGAGCTTACTTCATTTGTTCCACACAGTCACACTTTAATTCACAGAGAGCATTGTGTTTGCATTGTCTATCTTGTAGCGGTTCATTTGGCATGAGTTAAAACAGACTGCTGTCTCCTGAAAATGTGAGCAGAGGTAGAGTGCCCATGGCCAGTACCTTTGCTTTTCTGAGGGAAACATGTCATGTCAGGGAATTAAAGCCTTGGGGGGGCTTTAATAAGTTATTTAAGTGCTTTAAGAACAAACAAACAAAACATTCTTTTGCTGATGCAAGTTTAAGCAAGATAATTGGACAGGCTTGCTTTTATTTATATATATATATATATATAATCAGCAAACTTTTATACAGGAGTTATGTTACAGCCATGAACCATTATCTGCTACTTGTGAAGTATTGCAAGAAGTATTAGGGGGTGGGACATGCTCATTCTAGAGAGCATTTGATTGGCCGAACATCTATGTAGGGCGGGGTGAGTCATGTAAACTATAGCAATATTTTATTTACAGTGTAAAAAACTATTTTTCAAAGTTGTAAAAAGGAGTAAGTTTTACAAGAAAATACTATTTCAGGTTTTTTCTATTTAAAAAAATCAAGTTTAATTCTGTGTGGTACTTGTGATTTTTTTCTAGTGAATTTACATTTATTAAATATATATATATATATATATATATATATATATATATATATATATATATATATATATGTGTGTGTGTGTGTGTGTGTTTTCTAAAAAAAAAAACTTTTTTTGACCTCGTGTTTAATTAAAACTTCATAATCTTCTGATTTAAAATAAAAAAATAAGAAAGATTTCTTTCTGTAGTCATATTAGACTATTTGTCAAATCATTTCATCTGTTTAACCCCGTCCCTGCAAACTCACATTCATCTGCCTCCACTTTAGAGTGCAACACCCACATCTCAAATTCCAATCAACAACTGATGCACAGAGCCAAGTCCCTACCAAAGAAAAGATCTGTTGCTACTTCCATTTCAGTGCGATTTCAAAAGATTCTGCTCATAAGAGTCATTTGAATCAGACTACTCTGGTCATGCAGTTGTAAAGAACAACTAAATAGAAAGACACGTTTTTCATTTTATCAACTTTTAAAAGTGCACATATCGATGGCATCAGAGTTTATAGACATCGAGTGAAAGCCACTAAACTAAAGTTTGATTTCATGGGACTGTTGCACTTTTCTTTTCAGTGGGGGTAGTGCTTCTGACTCATTTTTATTTGCAAGGATGTGTAATGTAGACAGGAAATCATGCTATGTTTCTGTTTACTCACAAGTACGTATTGAGTACTTTGGTATTTAGTTTATCTCTGGATTGAAAATACATGTCCAAATATAGTTAGACATCTGTTAGTTTAGTATAATTTTACAGATACTGACCTCTAAAGACAGATTTTAATGATTTAAAAATGTGCATTGTTTTTGCATATTTGCATATTTTTTGCAAAAAACTATGAGTTCCAGTAAGGTTTGCAGAGATCGATATCTTAAACCACATCCTATTGCAAGAAAAAAAAAAAAAAATTCTGTCTGCTGTATAGGCATTATTCAACAGCAGTTCCTGAATAAACAAAACCAGAGAAAATAGAAAAGCAATGTGACCAGTCACTGGAGCAGAATCCTGAATAAATGATTCCCTTATTCAAGGCCTTCAGGGTTGTGTAGGGTTCATAAGGGGCCAGTCGTCCTCTCTGAAGCCCTAATTCAATCAGAACACCGTTTAGCAAACACAGCTCCTTTTAAAACAAAACTGAGTCGCAATTGCAAGTTGCAAATGTGCCATTTTTACATTATATACAAGAAGCTAAAGTTAAACAGCTGACGTTATGTTACTGTAGCTTTTGTGAGTTGCTATCGCTATAGCTTATTGCTTGATCAGACACCTGAAACTGTTATGTATTTATTTATTTTGCAGGTAGTATTAGGGGGCGGGACATTCTCATTCTAGAGAACATTTGATTGGATGAAAATCTGTGTAGTTCAGTCATGACCTGAACATGTTTTCTTTTTGCGTTTCTTTGTGTTGATTTTGAATTCAAATATGATCAAATGTTTTGCTTAGAATAATAAGATAAAACGATAGTGAACACGTCTTTGCTGGCTGAATGCAAAAACAAACGTACAGAGCGCTCTGGCCAGTGTAGTCGATTCGTCAATGAATGACTCTTCTGATGTGTTGAACTTTGTGAATGACGGGTGTGCCAATGCGTTGTAGTTTCAAATTGCACACGAATCATCAGTATTTTTTTGGCTTCTATAGAGAGACCGTTCGATGCATTTTTTTATTTTATATAAATGCCAGTTAAATGATGAATAAGGGAAAGTAAAAGCGTTCGGTATTTTTGACAAGCCTTACGTGTAAAACTGGTTATTGATCAATAAAGATAAAAAGGGAAGGACTGGGTTGTTAAATTGTCAGAACATTGTTAAAGGAACAAATGCTGTCCGGGAACAACCAAGATTGTTTTTCATGATGCTGCTTGTTTCATGATGAAACACAATGCCGGTATCATTGCCTGGCAAAACCAAGCCTCGACATGCACATCTTGCTTGTCAAAATAATTCAGAGAGGCATTGCATTCACATTATATGCTGGGGTAAAACTTGATGTTGGGAAAGTGACGTCATTTTGCAGAGAAGCCAAAAGAGCATCTGTGAAGCAAACACTCAAATAGTTTAACAGATAAAGACACCTCCTACATCATGCATAGTTTTTTTCATGGTTTTCAAGGATGAGGTCATGTCAAGCAACTTGTGACTCAAAAGTTTGACTATAGCAAGTGAAAGATGAATGTTGGACAAAATACCATCTAGTTTCATTGGATTTGACCCAATGGGCACCTATGTGTTGAAAAGACATCATATTGACATTAAAAAGATTGGTGTCAAAAATGCAAATCAAGCTGGCATCAAAAACCTCACTTCCATTTGACATCTACACACTGATGTTCTTTCGACCACCAAAATAATGACACAAAAGCAATGCAATAAAAGAAAGTTTCTATTCAACAAACTTCAAATCAGTAATACAAATGTAAATTTAAAAAAGAAATGCACCTATTCTGACTGAACAAAAACCGCAGAACAACAGATGAATAATTACTGACATTAGTCCATATCACGATTTGAATTTGATTCGCTGTACAGCGCTACTTTCTGATTGTTTAATTCAAAATTGGCCAAATTCTGTGACATTCCGTATTATACAGTGAATTGTGGTTTTATGCCTGGAATCCGTGGTTCCTTCCGTGTTGTCCGCATCACAGAAATCATATAGGGCTCTAGATATATGGACAGTGTAGTCGGGAAACAAGTTTTAACTGCAAAATGGAGTACAACTAGTGAAATAGTGGTGTGCCATGGATTAACCTCACACACAAACAAAGTGGTTGTGTGTCACGCACATTCCAAACTGTGTTGCATGCGTGCTACAGTGGTAAATGTAATGTTTTCCTACCATGTGGTAGAGCCATGCATACACGAAAACTACCAGAAATAGTCATAGCACAAAATCATATTTTATTGAAACACGATTACTGTAGCCCAAGCGTTAAAAGTTACCCAAGATAACTTGTTTAACATTACATGACATGCACCCACCTGA